TGGGGGAGAAGTAGGTTTGATGAGATTTTCAAAAAATCTTGTGTATAGTTCAGTACAGTCCAATAGAAATAAAAAGCAAGATGCATGTAATTTGGGGTTTTCTGGGAGCCACATTAAAAGAGTAAAAGGAAACAGGTAAAATTAATTTTCATGACCCATTTTATTTAAGTCAGTATATTCTCACTCCAACATGAAATCAATAATAAAAAACTATTGAGATATTTTACTTTTTGGGGGGGCGGGTCATAATTCTTTACAATCTAGGACATTTTGATTTGGACCAGCCACATTTCAAGTGCTCAATGGTTGCACGCGGCCAGTGGCTGCCATATGAGACAGTGCCGATAACCCGAGTATTGAGATCACGGAATGCGATGCATGCCTCAGGGTGTGGATAATGAGGAACCCAAAGCAGACTCTTAGAAATACCCGTGCACAGGTGGCCAGAGGAAGACTCTCCAAACGAGATACTGGTCGAGGTCTTTAAAAGTGGCAAACTATTTGAGAGAGGAACTGAATAAACAGAGTCTCCAACGAATTTCTACCTCCTACCATTGCACAGCCTAAGTGAGACAGGGGAGCTTCCCAGAAGCCAAAACCCCCACGGGGCTTTAGTCCGTCAGAAGACCCACCCAGCTGCAATGAGCACTCCAAGAAAACCTACTACTTCTGTCATATGCACATGGGGTAATTATTAACTTCCCTCCTGGATCAGAGTTTAAAAATCCGACTGAAGCAAAAGGCCATCAGATCGGTGAATTTTGCTACAGCTAAGGATTTGCTTTTTGACTCCTGTAAGTTTTGTGGCTTGCCGCCTAGAATTCAGTGCTCATCTGAAGAGGCACAGCGATTTTCTTTTGTTGATGTTGGTATTAGCTTAGAAGGAATGGAAGTAAGTATCTTTTTAAAGGAACATTGCTTTATCATGATATTCTTGGGAAATACAGCCATCACGTAGCATGACTTTGGAGCACCTATTACAATGCGCTCAGGGAAAGCAGGGACTCAATAAAACGAATAACTGATAGCATCATTTCATTTAAAAAGACATGGTTTTTTGCTAATTGAATTAACAGTCATTTGTGTTTTAAAAAATTATTTCACTTTGATTGCAGGAATTGAATCTGAAAAATAAGGAAAATATTTCCTCTTTCTTCTTCTCAACCTTCCCCTTCCTTCATAAAATCTCAGGCAGTAGAGCGAGAATAAAAAAACACAACCAAAAAAACGGGTCTTCATGCAGTTATCAAGATGCCAGTGACTTTTATGTCAGTGCTATCTGCTCGGGCTGTAAAGCTACCTGCTATCTGTCACTCCGTCAGAAGCTCTTATCAAAGCAGTTGGTGCCTTCCCGAAGCCCAAATGGTGTGTTGCCATTTCAGATGAGCAAAACCAAGCAGAGAAACTCCCTTTTTCCTGACTTTAGCTCACATGAGCTCCTGCCTCCTCCTCTACCCACCAGCAGAGCAGGTGGAGATCAGATCCCTTAGAGGATCTGGGCATAGCCCCCAAATCCAAGCAAAGCCAGGAGGGGTGTCAGGGCAACAATAAAAAAGCAAATCGTTTCCTTGGAACTCCTCTAGAAGTGGGTGGGAGGGCATACGGGAGGGGGTGTCTCATAAGCATCAAGTGTGTAATGCCTATTTGTAAACCACTCTCCTCTCTTCAGACACTTTCTATATTTACTTATCTGCCTTGGGTGCTCAGAAATCCCACTGCGCTTTTTTTTTTTTTTTTTTAAAGCAAGACTATCTTGGCTTCCTGGACTTTTGCATACTGTTCTAAATATAGTGCCCCACTCACTGATAAGAGTCTCTCTTTTTTTTTTCTCTAGTTCACAAGTTGGTGGGCCAAATGATTTCCTAGAAAATTCTAAGAACTGATAAGAATGTGTGTTTTAGAAGAAGAGGACAGAAGAAAAGTCCACGGTAGGTAGAAATCATCCTTCTGTTTGTACTACGTTGAGAAACGCGAAGATCTTGGCAGGGTAAAACTCCAATCCCGTGTGACAGGTCTATGCATACCCCACTAAGCTGTGGGTCAGGCCCTGACTGGGCCGAGATTGACAGCCACATCCCAGAGCAGCCTCGGTAGGCGGGTGCTCATGTTCTAACCCCGGCCCCACGCTGCTGGTGTGCTGGTCAAAGGAAAAACAGTTAGGGCATCAAACACATGCACTTCCGAGCGTGACTTTTCCTTTTTTTTCGGATTACCTTGATTCGGGGTATTTGGTGAGGGTGGCCAGGCTGCTGGTGTACATGTGGCCGCCCACATCAATGTGGACGGGTGCGTTGGATTTTGTGAGCTGTGCTGGAGTAGGAATGCCTTGGTTGTTCAGTGGAGATGCAGGAGATCTAGTGATCAGAGGTCTTGACATATTGGGTCGACTGTCCTACAGAGAGATAAGCAAGTTTAGACACGTTTTCATTTTTTCAGTGGAGAGAAAGAAAACACATGCATCATAAAGAATAAGCCAGCGACTAGCGTTGGTATTCATTCGGCAATAAAATCTCCCCACATCAGCAGGCTCTCGCTCTCGTTGTAATGAATATTGAGAAAACAAAATCTGTAACAAAGAAAAGGAAAACTTCCCATGCTCGGAATCAAGGAGCCGAACTAATGTTCATTTCCAATCATCCTGAGCTCTATGACTGCTTATTTCACTAATGAATTCTCGCATTTAACAACTGGTAAATGGCACGTGGAGAGCTATCACTCATTCCAAATAAAAAGACAATCAACGCTTGAAACAACCCACGTCTAAATAAAATACGGATGCTTTATCCTTCTCTTTGGAAACTCATTGCTAGGCAGTTGGGATAAATACAGACCTTTCAGCACTTGTGTTCTGCAAAATGTTTTCCTTGATTTCTATTTTTCAAATCAGGAAAAAGAGGGTAGGACTAGCTTGGCCATCAGCACACATTCTCAAAGCAACCTTGTAAATAGGCACAGCTAGTTCATCAGTCAAGAGATTAAAAAAAAAAAAAATCCACACACACTCTACCCGTTTGTTCTCCACCTCTCTCTCCCTCTCTGTAAGACTGTGGATCTGGGGGGGGCGCCTGGGTGGCTCAGTTGGTTAAGCGACTGCCTTCGGCTCAGGTCATGATCCTGGAGTCCTGGGATCGAGTCCCGCATCGGGCTCCC